AGAATTTCGAGGTTTTCATGCATTCCCCTTTAAATCTGAAAAACTTACATCTGTGCCAACACCCGAGTATTTCCGAATTCAGCGTAACCGGAACCATCTTGTGCACCGAAAACACCGCATTTGACAGATAACGGTCTAAATGCTGTTGAGCTTCTCTGTTCTACCTCTTCTGTATCCATACGATCATCGTCGACACGACTGAGATGAGTCAGCAGAATGNTGAGGTTGGAACGGTTTGTCGGCATCTGGAAAAATATAAAATAGAGAATTCCGAGAAAAAGNATAACCCCATTAGCCCCTTTTTTGACTCGATACTCGAACCTATTTTTCTTTGTCGTTTTTTGTATACAGTTTTGCTGTATGATTCAAATGAAGTTCAATAGACCCATTGTTGCTGCTCAACTTTTATATGTGTCTCAATTTTTAAGATCACACAATTCCTCCCAATATTTTATAAAACCGTAGCAATTCCTGACAAACAGATGGTCATAAATTGAACGACCGCCTATTCACAGCTGTTATGGGCGCCTACAGGCTCCCGACAGATTTATAATTTTTCCGAATCTGGGGAGGGTTTGCCTAACAGATGGTGTAAAGAACTGCCAGTGACGGGCGGAGAAATTTGTTGTGTTGCGTCTGATACCACGCAATGGGGGTAAACAGACAGCTGCGCTTTGGGCAATTGGATTAGATTCCAACAGTGTGTGGTAGCACCTGTCTACGTGACACACTATTTGTGGTGAATTGGGTGACAACCGTGGTACGGTATGAGAGAATAAAATGAAATGAAATTTCGTAACATGATATTTTTCTTGCTAGATCTAAACAGCAATTGCACATCTTGTGGGTCATTTACATCCGAGACGTTGAGAACATAATTACTTATAACTACGATATTACAAAACTTTTTGGTATTCAATATAAATTGTTACATACTTACCTCTAACTCTTGGAACTCCGTATCGGACGCAGTGAAACACGACGTATCGATATCTGAACTGTGAACTGACGGATCCATCTGCAGTCCTAAGGGCTTCAGAAGAGGCGACACGAAAAGGATGAAGATGCTTGGCCTTCCAGACATTGTATTTGGTTTCGAAATCATCATAGCTCTTGTACGTGGCATTCAGACATATATTTTCGTCATCTGTAGCAGAGGTGACAGTTCCTGGCTTGACGTCTTCTGGGTCCAATTTAATAGACGACTTCCGTTTTGAGTCTGTCATGTGGACTCTGGAAAATATCAGAAATTATTGGGAAGAAAAACCACGAAAAGTTGTGATCTAAATGTAAGTATAAATTCTATGTCAAGACCGAAAAACAGAAAATCTCATGCCAGATGACTGGTAACAATGAAGGCAGATGACTGAAAGCATACACTGTACGAATTAACAAGGTCCTTCTTGGCAGATCCTGTGGGCGGGGCACACACATTGTATGCAGGCGTATGTCTGACGTCACCTGAGAGTCTATGCCTAGGGGCAAAAAGAGCGAGTCCCTTGTAGACAGACGTTGCTGGGCAGCAGGGGTTTCTGATGGCGGGAAAAATCACTCCAAGGAGAGAATGAAATGAGAAACTAGCAAATGCATTAAAAGACAAAATTCAAAAATGAGCTTGAGATAATTGTTAGAGATATCTTTTTCATTTTGATACCGATTTGTTTCAAAAAAGAAAACCTCACAAGTTTTCACACTTTTCGAGATAATTAGTTTTGTGTATGATAATTTTAAAAATTTGAGATAGCTAATATCTATTCAAAAAATCCAATTTTCCAGATATACAAACCTAAGCTAATCAGCTATTTTCAATCAAATTCTGAAAGCTTTCCCTTTCTATTAACCTTTTTAGTGATTCTGTATGTTCTTTTATCAATTGTTGCAAAGGCGCAGTTGTACAAAATACTATTCGAACAAAAGAAGAGCTATCTCAATTCTGTGTCCACAAGGAACATCTTCATTGAATACGAAGTGACGTCATTTTGGATGTTTAGTGGTCCACTCAGTTTTCTTGGGGTCAATGAGAAAGAAAATAGTATTCATAGAGGCACAGAGAACTATGTGCGCAGCTATCTTACCTTTATTACGTCACTGTCATCTCGGATGGGTGGTTCTTCTTCTTTGCGAACAGGGTGCTCACGTGAATGAGAGATGGATTATGAAAAAACATGCCTGTATAGAACTGGAATATTTTTCTAAGTCATAGTACGAACTCAATTGTAAATGTTGTGCATGTTTTTTTAAATCTCACAAACTTGCGTCTCGAAATACCAGAAAATGACCAATTAGGTCTCAAGATGACGTGACAACACTGCTGTCTATTATGGATTTATCGTATTAAAAAAGAAACAAAGAAGAAGGATTTCCATTATTATTCCGACCAGACACATCCAGACAACTTGCACGAATATGGTAGCAAATGTCGGCACGCTTTCAGAAATTGGTCAATATAGATTACTGTAAATCCTGTCATTCGGGGTTCTAAGTCATGCACGTCAATTCGAACGTTGTACAGATGTAGTTCGCGTTCATGAGGTCTAAAAAAGAGGGGTGTTGGGCTTGGAATCGATAAAACTCAATGCTTACCTTAATAAATCAGTTGCCCACCATCTTCCGTCGGAATCCATTCCCTTCCCTGGAACTTTTTTATCCTGGTTTTGTGGCATGTAGGTCAGCTGAATAACATTATCTTTCATAATACTGTGAACACTGAACAAACTGATTCAATTTTGTGCCATGGAAACTCATAGGGTAGCAAGGAAGGGATGAAGTATTTTTTGACTACCAAGCAGTCTGGACGAATCTGGAATTCATTTTTAAAATTAAAGTTAAACTCTGAAGTGTTGTGACAAGTCTCTTACCGACACAAAATGATCCTGGTAAACTGCTCGTGGGTCCTTTAGCAACTCGTGCTTCTTTTCCTGTTTTTCCTGCACTTCCTTGCCTTGTTTAGTCATTAGAAAAACTCGCATTTCATTCGCCATTCTTTAAATAAAACTTTTGGAAAGCTGAAAATGCTTGAATATATTGGAAAGGGATGAAATCAAGGTTTTTTTTCAAACTGAAATCGAATATATCAGCTGCATGATCAACATAAAAAACGAAGAGGATGAAAATATCAGGTGTATCTATGATTTGTATTTTTTTTTCATTAGTGGACACTTGTTATGGCATATGCCTCTCCCATTTTGTCTCGGATTTGTCTGGATAATCTTTTCAAATATACGACTTCTTCTTCTTCTTTTCTCTACCCCCTTCAAATAAATCCAACGGATTACAGCTGAATAGGAAAAGAGAAATTTGGCTTGTTCGATTTTTCAGCACGACTAGAAAATATTGTTCCAATATTTGCTCCACAAAAATAGACAGCCAATGATCAGAGTCATTTTGTTTGCACTGTTTAAAATTTGGCAACCTGTTGTGCAATATCATTTTTAAAATGTTGTTTACATATTTCAAAATGTTCAAAAAACCCGTTTTATTGAAAGAGTTATAAATGAATACTTAACATGACAAGGTTATTCAATGACAATCATGTCGTGAAACATGTCCGGCGAGAGACATTGCGACAGTAGCGACAATAGCAGATGATAGGGCCAAATAAGCTGAGCTTCCAAGCTGAATTACATAAATTGAAAACGGGAATTATTGAAAACAATAAAATTTAACTGACCGTTGAGTTAAGATATTTGACGCCTTGAAAACCAAAACTGAAGTCAGAAGCATTGACAGCCATCAGAATGAAAGCGATTGCTTGAAGAATTACAATCAAAGAGCATAGGAGTGAAATGCCATGGAAATTGTGACGGATACTATGGCAGCATCCATGATGGTGGACTTTGTATCTGAAATGTATTAATTTATGGATGAAAACATGATATTGCTATACTTACGCAGCATGCAAGTATATCAGAATTAACGGGAAGAATAGTCCAAATGAAATGAACATCATCCAACTAGCAGCAGAAAACCATCCTCCGATTCCCTTAAATCAATTTTTTCAATTCACAAAATAACGATAATATCAAACTCACAGAATCATATGGTACGATTCCAATGCCACGGCTCTGGTATAAGATAGTAAAGTTGATCCAATTTTTTGTAAATGTTGCGACTGCGCATAAAATGAAAGAAACGACAATTAGGGCTCCGATGGCTCCGACCTTTGGGCGAGACATTGTTTCGAAAATAGGTTATTTATTTAATTCAAAAAAGATAAAACTTGAGGTGTGAGGAGACGACCGATAGGATGGCTAGACGCCACTATTTATTTATTATGTTATCTATACTTTTCAATTATTATTTGCATTATGACATACTCATACGTCATTTTTTCGTGTTCTTAGTTTGGTTTTTTCCATGATTCACTCATTCTCCCAAAAGGGAAAGCTTTCCACACTTGACACATGACATTCTTAGCAAAAGAATGTTATCATCATTCGATGAGAATAGAAAATGAAGCGTAAAGTTCATGAATGTGTGAAAAAGCTTCTAGGTCAACATGGGTGTAACTGAAATGAAGTTTGGTCTATGTATTTATACTTTTTAATTGATTCATTTTCGATAAACTGAATGATAGCAAGTTCATAATCTCCAATGGTACATATATTTTAAATTAAAAAATAATAATTAAACGTTTAATTATGCAATTAATTTTTTGCAAACAAATGGCCTTGTGATAATACAGAGTTTATCATTCCAGTATCCATTATGATCCACTTCTACACAATTCTCGTTGTGCTCCTCGTTGTTTGGTTGATCTGAAAGCTTAGATTGAATTTTTTAAATGACAAGAATAACTCACTCTGTGCCCATCTAAAATAATCTACTGGTGATCCATCAGAATTCTTAAAGACGCTTTCCTTCTGAACATCATTCACTCCTATCCAAACCGTCTGATTGGCAGGTATCAATTTCGTCAGGAACCCATTATCCAAACGGGAGTGAATGGATGCCAAATGAGCTCCGTACCCTATACATTTTTCCGATGCCGTATACCAGCTCTCCTCACGCTACAAAATAGATGATGAGAAAACAGAAGGGGGTACGACGAATTCGAACGTTTTCAAAATCGAACAGACCTAAAATCGAACAGATTCAATTCAGAACAGTCCTTTTTTCGCACACGTACCAGAACAGAACGCGGACAGAATCGAACTGTTACAAGTTCGAACTGGTAAGGAGTCGAACTGTCCCAAACTGGAACGCTGTTTTGTGTGTGCTTTCATTCGCGCTCTGTTGCAGGCAGCGTTCCAATTTGGGACAGTTCGACAGTGCACAGTTCGAATTAGAACAGTTCGATTTTGTCCTTGTTCTGTTTTGATACTTGTTCGAAAAAGACACTGTTCTGATTTGAATCAGTTCGACTTTAGATCTGTTCGATTTTGAAAACGTTCGAATTCGTCGTACCCCCAAACAGAACAATATACTAAATCTCACTTGAATAAAAAAATATTCCATTCCGTTATTGGTGACTCTTGGTGCTTGCATATAATCTAGTGTTCTCTAAAAATGTTAACAATTTTCAGAATGCCAATGTACTACTCCAACCTTAATTTCGACCACATCTGTAGTGGTAATTCTCTCGTAATTCCTCAAATCCGTTTCGAATTGTTTTCTAAGCTCTCCCACTTGTTTCTCAGTATCATATTGACTCTTCATTTTCACCTCATACAATTTCTTATCAAACTTTGTTTCCAATTTCTCTAGTTCTCCTTTACAGTCGCAGCTCGTTGGACTGGAAGAGGCGATGGGATGTGGAACGGGCGGTCTAATGGGGCTGATGGAGTTACGGTAGTAGTAGGGTCTTGAATAAGGGCGGTGATAAGAATAAGGGCTACCGTAATCTTGGGATGGCGACGACGTGGCATCATTCAAATAGTGAATATTATTGGCCGGCTGATTTTGGAGAGATCTTCCTTCTCGACTTTTCTCTTCTCCTTCCTCACATTTTGAATAGGCGTCTCGAAGACAGCGAATTTCGGCTGCCCAGTTGAATCTGAAATAAAACTGAGTTTGACAAAAAATCATTAAACAATGTTTTCTTCGCATCTTTAAGTATAAACCTGCAAAGCCTTTTCCGAAAAAAAGTTGGTGTTACTACACCGATAACAAATTAACAACGCTGCCTATATTTCATACTTGTGGAAAAGATGGCCGGCCCGCGGGCCGGGCCGGGCCGGAAAAAATTACACATGGCCGGCCCGTTTTTTGAAAATTTTGAAATTTTAGAGCGAATCATCATTTTTCAAGATGGTTTTTCTTCTTAGTGAATGAAAATCCACACTAGAGGCCGATACTGTCGACAAAAACTGTTTTGAAGTCGTAATTAGAAAAAGTTTCATCCTTGGCTTAAGGAAGTTTGATTTTTTTGCTAAAAATTCAATTAAATTGACTTTTTCGGATGGTTGTATGCATTTGGATTAATATTTGGGCCATTATAAATATTTTGGCACATTCGAAAAATAAAGTTTTAGAAAAGTTGTCCTAGGCGGGCCGAGCGGGCCGGGCCGGGCCGAAAGTTTTGAGGCAAGCGGTCCGGCCCGGCCATCCCCATGTATGCTATATTTAGTTCAAAATAGCCAATACATGTAAGGTTTTGCCAAATAGGTCGGATAGTTTTCAGATCGACGAAAAATATTTTAACCTCACTTACCCGAAACCCTCACACAGTTGACGACTTTCAGGTGTAAAAGTGGGGAGGAATGATGAAACGGGATGGTTTAAAATACTTAGTAATAATGGTATACATAGTGGAAATATCATCTGAAAATCTTTAACTTTGAACAACTCATGAATGCTCTGAATAAAAGAAGAAAGATACGATGAATGAATATAAACGAAGATACGATTGAAAAAAGCGGACCAGCCTTCAAAGATCATAAAAACTTAAGTTTAAAATGAGAGAGATGTCAGGCGGTAAGCCTAAAACAAAAAAAGTGCACCTCTCCAGCAAAAAAGTGGATGGAGTGATATATCCATGAATCCTGAGTCCTGGGAATTTTGCTCCATAAATCAGGTCAATGGGTTGTTTAACAGGGGGATGGGACCGGACACCAGCGGAGAGAGAAAAGGGAGGAGATGAAGAAAATTGATGGATTGAAAAAGAAGAAGAAGAAAATACAGCCGTTGAGAGGAAGAAAAAGAAGAAATTGAGTTGGTTGGAGTAGCAGAAAAAAGCAGTTGGCTTTTTTTTCTGATCCTATAAACTTTTTTTGAAATCATTTTGTAAAACAGAATTCATAAACGGATACGAGTGTTACCCAATGAAAAAAAAAGTAGGAGACAGATTTTGGATTTTGCAAATGCTCGGAGAAGAATCGACTGTGTATGAAACATAAATCTAAAATCACGATGCCTCGATGAAAAAAATCAAACTGAAAACTTTATCACACACGTGATTATTTTCCAAATGTTGGTGAAGCCTTGCACAGCTTCATTCCTTTGGCCGCTTTTGTCCTGACAAATTCAGCGATACAAAAATAAACGCAAATCTACTTGTCTCCTATTGACACAATTAAAATTTATCGCATAAACCGTTTTAGGCTAAAAACACAACACTGTGCTCACAACTTTTTTCAATGCCTCAACACAGTTTTCGGAAGGTATTCATCCTTGCTTTGAATGTATGTGTTTGTGTCCTCGAGAGATAATGGTTTGCTTCCTTTTTGGCATTACCCATAGCACAGTCAAACAAAGCCGCATGAACTCATCGGAAAAGTTCGGATTCTTCATATCGATTCTTCAAAAGATCATATGTTTCTCACAGTTTTTCTTTCTTCAACTGGTCATTTGAGTTAGTGTTTTCAGCCACCATAATTTTCGTTTTCCTATGAAAAAGACATGAAAAAACTTCATTCGATTAAATCATTCCGTTTTAGGTTATTTTGGTTTTCCCCATCTTTCCAGATAACCATCTACCGTCGACGCAACTTTCCATCTAAATTATGAAAAAAAATGGTGAAAAATTTCATCATTATTCTCAGGTCACATGATTTTTCTCTCTGAAAATTCCATACTCTTTAATCAAAATACCTGTTCTTGTTCCGCCCATAGAAGTAGGGACAAGGGCGGAGCTAACATTCCATAGGAAATTCCACCCACTTAAAAGCGGTGCCAATCAATTTTTCGATACGCAGTCAATTCATTGCGAGTTCCCAGAAATTGAGACTCAAAGCATCGCCGTGACCTATCATGAATTCTATAATCGTCGTTCTTGCTGTGGTGATTGGATTGGCACAAGGTATGAATAAATAGCTTCTACTGGATTAAAAAATAAATTTTTAGCCAATCCTGCCCGTGTCCGTCGTGAAGCCGCCGATATCTACTGCATGAAGCACTTTGAGAACTTCCAAAAGTTCTGCGGAGAAGATGATTTCTCAGCCACTCGAGACTTGCTTCCAAAGATCATCAAATTCTGCCCCGCCTATCAAAAGCATTGCGCAGTTGGAAAAGCTGGAGTCCTTGAGCTTCCCGATCTTGGATCCGATTTGGTTCTTCCGCCATCTATTGATAGAGCCACCAAATATGATCGCCTTTTGGACTCCCCGATTGAGAAAGAAAATGAAGTCTTCTCTTCGTTCAAATACCCTTCTTCGAAACCAAACCAAACTCGTCTCACTGCTGCCATTGTTGCCACTTGCACTCCAGACTGCAAAGCCCCTCAATGCACCGATGAATGCAAATGTGCTCACACTCATCCAAAGGTCCATTCAATGTGCAATCCACCATCTACAGCAACAATGGCCCAGACTTGTCAACGTTGGTACGCCAAATGCACCATGTTCGCTCCAGTCCAATATTAATCACTGTATTACTTATTCCGTTTGATTGCTGGTTTTTAATGTTTTTTCCTGTTTGGATCGAGCAATAAACATATTTCACATTGAGTAAATTTGTATTTTTGGTGCGAAAAATTAGATCGAAACAGAAGCGAGAGTAAAAAATAATATTCAGAACTTGTCGGAGACGTATCATTGTCAGATATGAGCTAATCTTCTTCAAGTCTTTTTTTGCATGCAATTCAAGCAGGTTCATGATTTTTGCCATACAGAAATACGGAAAGGTCCGTCTAATCAGTTCCTGAATTACTCACAAACTGAAAGAATATGGAGCTCGCGTACATTCTTAACGGCACGGTTTTTTCCGGATGTCGTGTAAATGCGATCGATGTACTACAACAGTAAAGTAGCGTTCGTCTTGACACGGAAACCATAAATTGGATTGCTGAGTCGACGGCATCTATAATGGGTAGTTTCCCTATTACCTGTGATTCTCAAATTAGCCGGTCAGTTAAACTCCGAAAATTTACTCCGCGAATTTATACTTGAAGTCGAAAATTTTTAAAGTTTATAAAAATTTAAAAATTTTATAATAAAAATTCAAAAATGTTTTCAAACTCCGAAAAGGTCACAACTTTCGCCATTTGATCTCTACATTTTGGTTATTTTTGATTTCCCTCAATTTTCCAGATAACATCTGCCATGGACGCGGTTGTCCGTCTTAGTAAGAAAAGAGAAAGTGTCATCATCACTTTCTGAAATTGGTGTCATATGACTGTCTCCGAGTTTCCAACACTGTTTAGTTACAAGTTTTTGTTTAGTAGATAGGTGTCAGAAGAAAAAGGGCGGAGCTTGCGTTAAGAAAGACAAAAATTTCCCATAAAAGAATGTCCACAATTCACATCGATACCCACATTGTGAGTTTTAAGAAATTGAGACTCAAAGCATCTACGTGACTAACAATGAAATTTTCTTGTGTCCTGTTCGTTTTTGTTGCGATGATTGGCTTGACTCAAGGTAAGAATGGCTCAAAAGTTTAGATAGTAGCTAACAATTAGACTTCGTGCTAGTGTTTTCTAGATAATTAGCTGATTTTTAGTCGTTTTCTTTTTTAATGGAAAATCTATATTAGTTACGGCCTTTTCTGTCTTAATTCGAGTGAAGTCTCATTGCAAGGCAAAAAATGAAATGCTTAAAATAACTTGATTAACAAATTTCTAGCCAATCCTGTCCGTGTCCGTCGTGAAGCCGCCGACGTCTATTGCATTAGGCATTTCGAGCACTTCCAGAAGTACTGTGGAGACGAGAACTTCTTAGCCACTCGTGACTTACTTCCAAAGGTTGTCAAGTTCTGCCCAGCCTATCAGAAGCATTGCGCCGTTGGAAAATCTGGAGTTGTTGAGCTACCTGATCTTGGATCTCAGTTGGTTCTGCCACCATCCATTGAGAGAGCTTCTAAATTCGATCGTCTTTTGGACTTACCAATGAGCGATGACAAGGATATCTTCACCTCAAATAAATTCTCCCCAGCGAAATCAACTCGTCTTACTGCTGCCATTGTTGCCACTTGCAATCCAGACTGCGTAGACCCACAATGTACCGACGAGTGCAAATGTGCTCACACTCATCCAAAGGTTCATGCCACGTGCAATCCACCATCTTCTGCTGCGATGGCTCAAACTTGTCAACGTTGGTATGCCAAGTGCACCATGTTCTCCCCAGTACAATACTAAACACCCCATTACTCATTTCGTCCCATTTCTTCACTTATATACCACTTCATCCTTGAACTTTTTTTGGAATTTTTCAATTCTATGATTTTTTGTGAGTAATTCCCCTCCTATCCTTTTCTTTTTTGAAACCAACCCGTATCTTCTTCGAATCTGATTTCTTCTTCCCCATTTCTTTTATTACATAACACCCTATCCTTGAATTGTTCCTTATTCATTTTTTTTCCGTTTGGGCAAAACAATAAAATATTTCACATTGAGTAGCTTCCAAAATTCTTGATTTGAAAAAAATTACATTCAAACAGAATCAAGAGAAAAATGTTTTTTTCCTGAAAAATTAAGGCGCTGTGAAAACATGGTAACCAGGTTCCAAAACGGACTGAGCAAACGTACGGTGAACCAAAACTTGATAAGAAAGAAAAGAGCATATGAATGGAGGATTATTTGATGTGAAAAATGGAATGATTTCTTTGTTTTGGTATTTTCAAAATTGGCTCGCGATTCCTAAACATTTAAAAAGTTTCTGGAAGCTTATAGGCTTACATAGACGATTTGAAGCATCACACCAATTTCTCAAAAAAAGGTATGAAAAAATTTGTATAATTGATCACCGTTGTTGTTTTGTGATGTCATGTGGGAGTTACAGAAGCATAATGGATGGATCACATGTAATCCGAAAAACTTGAAGAATTTTTTTTTCCGTGGTTCCGGAAAATCTTATGATTGATTGCTTTTCATCTTTTTTCTTCTTTACTGAACTTTGGTTCTGTTTATCGGTATTTATCAGGAGACACAGAAAATCTTCCTCGAATTTTCAAGAATTTCAGGGAAAAAATGACTTGGCAAAAGAGGAACCAGTTGTTAGATAAGATCAATTTTTGAAATAGACAACTATTCAATTATGTAAGATTACGGTACTAATGACCATAACAATCGTGTCATAGTTAGAAAGTTCCTAGATTTTCAAAAGTTTCAGTATACAGGTACCACACAAAACAGAACGACACAGCAGTTTGTCGAGCTTTGTTCTTTTCAATTGAAAATTTTTTTGAGATTTTTGAGTGGTTTTAAACGACTTCAGTTTAGAGAGGTCTTATATGATAGAAACAACATCAACGGTAAAAGTAAAGATTTATTCTTGTTTTATGTATACACCCAGAACGTTTCAGGTGGATAATACAGGGCATATTTAGTTGTTCAGAGCATACAGTTGCTATTTTTAATTTAAAACAAGTGTAAAATGTAGTGGAGGAGAAAAAAAATTATATAAAGATGTAACATGTAACTTTGAAGCCAATGAATATTTTTGATCAATCGGAATTCGAAGACGTTTGCTTATTTTTTCCATCATTTTCCTTGAATCTTCTCAATTCTGCATTGACCAACAATAGTTGTCTATTCACATATTTGTATCGTTTTTCAAATACAGCACACTTTCTGGTTTGAGAGTCCAACTTCTTTCGTAGGTCTCGCTCTTCTTGCACAATTTTATGGAAACTTTCACGAAGTATTTGTATTTCATCTGAAAATTTGTTAAATGTGATGAAGGATAATGTAGCTAAATCATTGGATGAAAGGATAAGTTGTTTAAATGAAATGTAAAAAATAGTTAGAAGAATAAATAGTACATATGTATATAGTCCAATGAATTTGGGGAAGCTCGCTATGAGAAAATTTAGAAAAAAAACTAACTTCTTTCTTTCCACAACTCCTCCCTTTCATGTTTGAATTGCTGACTGGCTATTTCTATAAGGGACATCACTTTATTCATCATACTGCCTTCATCATTCCGACCGCTACTTCCACTACCTCCCTCCATTGACATAGAAATCGAATTCGAATTTGATCCGTCCCGATCGCTTACAGAGTTGTTCGGTGAGGACTGCAAAATTTGGAAAACTGTGGAAAGTTCATGATGTGAAAAAACTTCTTACATCTTCCTTTCTCATATTCTCCAAAGAATCTGAATCGTTCTCTGAATTACCCCCACTTTTGCTTAGATTCAAAGGAGTTCCGTCATCACAAGCTCTCTGGTTTTGTTCATCATCTTCGTTCCTGAAAATTTGTCGGAAAAGATTAAGAAATCGTTTTGTGACCAACCCATCAAAAGTATTCTTTTGCGACAATGCTACAAAATGTTGCATCAAAATCTGTTGAGGTGTCATTTGTGGCTGCATTAATTGGTTGAAAACAGAGCCTCCATTTTTCACAGAATCTATAAACCATATGAATTTCTGCGAAATCAGAATACCTAGATGTCCTCGTTGCTAACAAATACAAGTGCTTACCTGTGTCTTGTTTATCTTTTTGGAGGATTACTGTAGTTCCATTCCAATCCTCGAAATTCCTTTTGGATGGGCGACCAGGGCGCGTGCTAAAAGCGGATATTCTTTGGATTAGAAAATTTCGCAACGTTTTGCATCAATTTCAGCTCATTTAGAAAAAAAGGAGTCAAAACTTTGTAAGTTACTCGAAGCTTACCAAGTACTAGTACAATCATCGTACAACTTTTCAAAATCTCTGGTCTCCAGTAATTTACATCTGTTGACACCCGGTTGAATAGCTCCAAGTGAACGGAGGGCACGGACCTAAAAAGAGGGACATTTAAAAAACTATTTCAAAATTACGAGAAGGTGTGAATATTTTTGGCAATTACTATGCCAATTTGTCTCAAAGCTTTCTACAATGTTTCATACCTGTTCTACATTGCACACCACCGGATGAATATACAACCGCTTCAATTTTGTGTATACCGTATGTAGTCCTCCTACCATATTCTTAAGGAATATTTCATACACCTAAAACACCATTTACCAATGATTTCCAACATTACTGTACCTGTGGAAGACATATCATCTCTTTACCGTCTATATCAAACGCAGCGACGCTATGCCCTCTGAATGGAACTAGTTTCACAGTTAGTGTAGTTGGTGAAGAATTGCAATTCAAAGAGGACGACGACGTGGACGAGGATAGTGATGAAGACTCTCCAGATGAGGTAGATCCTATGGTATCTCGTGGAGAAGTCGAGGATTCTTGAAAATCATGACGACGTGGAGTTAGGAAGTTATTGCTAGTGGATCCAGAAGCGGATGAATTGGACGAGTTGGAGTTCGATGATGAGGTTATGAATCCACCTGTAAATTGTCAAATTTCATTTTTCCCTGTTCAGATGACAACAATTATATAATCAAAATATGAATAATAGTCCTAGTTTAGCCTCTATAGACTAACAGTTAAAAGCTCTAAAACTGAACGTATCTAGAAATTAGAATCTGAAATTTAGAATTTATTTTCTCTGAATTTTTGTTAATCTGAGATTCTGAACATATAAACATATTAGACCAAGTTTACATGTACCTGTTTCATCTATATCCATATCGGTCTTCCATTGAGATAATTATAGCTTTGTTGAAGATGTGATTTCAAATTTAAAATATTTCAGAAGCCGTCGATAACTGTGAAGCAAAAGGGAAAATTTATATTTGAAGAATAATAGTGTCAAGAACTCGAATTTTCCGAAAAACCCAATATTCAGTAGATAGGAATCGAAAAAGTGAGTTGTGGAAGGTATTTGGAAAAGGAAAAGAGAGGGGCCAACCACCTTGTTATCCATGCGAAATCCGGATATGGAAGGATTACCAATCTTCCCATACATCCACATATTCATGTGCGCAGGTAATAAGGAATTTGGGTGATTTTTTTAATATTTCTAAGTGCTCCTCAATCTCCTTATTTATATTTACCGGTTCTCGACGTGCGACGAAATGAGAATTAGTTGGAAATTTAGAAACTCAGAGAAATTAGAGGATTTTGAGTTATTAAAACAGATGAATGTATTTCTTCTGATGACGTGGATAAGTGAAGCTCAATCATCAAAATATCTCACCCACGCATTCAGAAGCTAAGATGAGTACATAAGAGTTAGAGATGTACTGAAATGTTTATTTTTTCATAAGTAACATATTACGGGAATTAGAATATTCTGGACATGTTAGAGTGACGTAAAACTGGAGAGCATTATTTTTATCAGGTTATCAGCTTAAATTTCCCTTTAAGCATGTTTACTGTGTTCGAAAAATAATAGTAATAACCTATTTCTGAATAAGAAAAGTTGGTAATTTTTTGAATAGGGGAGAGAAACAAAGCACCGAAAACTGTTAAAATTTTGTTCAAATGTCGTTCAATATGATAGTAAGTCTTGGTATTCAATTCGCCCTTCCTTGATTAATTTGTCTAATTTATTTTTCCCTACACAACTGATCTTCTTCTTTTCTGTTTTTTTAAACCCCAAACAGATATAACATTTTGCGACCTTCTCCCTTTTTTTCAACTTCCACCCAACGAGAGAAAATTTGCCTATGTCAGAATGAATAAACATTTTGGCAACGGATGCATGTCTCATCTTCTCAGAATAAATGGATAAACGAGGAGACTAAACTTTGCTCCAATTCATTGGTGAAATTTCCCGTAAACAAAACCGGTAAATTGAATGCAACGGAGAAAAAGATTAATGTATTTTTTGAGTAAACAATTCCCATTGTGTTTTCGAATTGCATTTTTGAAAAAGTGTAAACAATGTGCATTTTCCTCACCTCTAGCCAGTGATTGAAAATATTCATCAACTCGGAAAATTTTTTGCATCATAGCCATTTGTTTGTCAAAATCCCAAATGCGAATTATCTGAAAAATAAAGTTTCCGGAGTTCTCGAACTTCTCACAAATGACATAAAAAACTAATGAGAGAATACAAGAAATATGCAACCAAATTCGAAGAAAAGGGTTATGTGTGCGGTTGTTGCCATCATTCGTTGTGTCTCTTTTTCTCTGTGAAGATAGGGATCTTTCAGGTGGGTAAGTTTCGAAGAAAGAAGAAAAAGAAACGAATAGCAGTTCTTATTCAACATTAAGAAGACACTCAATTTTATTCACGACATTTTGAAAGAGGAAAAAGAAGAAAATATGAAGAGGTTTAAGAAACTTTCTTTGGAACCAAAAAAAAGTTTAAAAGGTAGTACTGTAATAAATCTGATGGTTGAAAACAAAAATCTTCTGAAGTTTAATCATTCAAATCATTTAACGACATTCTATTAGGTTGTTCAATAAATAGTGGTCACTTTCACTTCGCTCTACCGTTGCTCATCCAATTTTGGGTTTTTTTCAATTCTGTTTTTATATTTATAGACGTCACACATTGCATGTTTAATAGACATTTAAAAATTCCGAATGGACTGTCTAACGGCCGAGGATTTTCTCGATAACGAACACATACTCAAAAGTGTTTCTTTGATCATATTTCTCCAAGGTCTCTCGAACAACGACCATTAGCGAGCAAAGTGCAAAATGTTAGACGTAGACCTCATCTCTCGAACCACGATTGAAATTTGGTTCAAAAGATTCGAATAAGAAAATTATGATCTGGATCATAAACCAATACCCAAAAGGCCTAGCCTTAATAAAAATGAAAATATTTTAATGATACTGGAGAAAAAGCTCTGTGCTACTTTGCGTGCATTATCTTTGACAGCCCACCATCTTAATAGCACCGTAACAGATCATGTTCTTCAAACGGGAAGAGCTCGTAGAGTCCATCAAATCGTTCCCCACATTTTGACCAATTTTAGAAAAAGGTCCGATGAGACCTGTCCGTTTCTCTCCTCTCCAGGAAACCGACGACGGACTGGGTCAACAAAACAATCATTGGAGATGATGAACGGGTACTGTATGTTAACAATGCCAGTAAGCACCTATGGCTCTCTGCAAAAGAAACGGTGGAATCGGTCTCAAAAGGCAACCTTCAAGAAAAAAACAGATTTTTCCGATTCGGTTAGACAGTAAAATACCGCAAGAAAATACCGCAAGCTGCTTCCGGATAGAAGTAAAATACCGCAAGCTGCTTCCGGATTTCTATGTCATCAACTTTGGCTCTACTGCTTTCAAATGGAAAGTGGTATTTATGCACATCGCTCTCACATCTAGAGAGGCTCAGAGGCTCAGTGTTGAAATTTTTGCATGACAACGAAAAACCACGCAAATATTCGAAGAGCCGTTACAAACTCCATCTTCTAGGAATCGAAGTTTTGCATTGCCCATCGTACACCGCCGACCTGGCACTAGCTAATTACTACCATATCCGATTTCTCCAGAATCGTCTTGCTGGTGAGAAAGTTCATGATCGGAAGGATGTCAAGAAATTTTTGGAACACTGTTTTGCCTCTAAGTCGCCAGAGTTCTACGCGAACGGAATTGCCCAAATTCCGTTGCGCTGGCAAGAAGTTATGAACTCCAATGGCGAAATAATTTCTCAATGATTCTTGTTTTCCTTGAAGAAAAAAACTACTTGAAGAAAAGTGACCACTATTTATTGAACAACCTAATATAAGAAAAGCGATCAATGTTGGATTGCAGTTTCAGAGCATGTTTTTTTAAACAGCTTTCCAAAATTTTTTGTTTCAATGCTTTTCAAATTAGTTAAAACACTGTGAAGCCTCCCACATGTGTAACTCAAGAAAAAGATAACAATCTTAAGTAGTTCGTTCAGTTCGTTCAAACGCAACCTGATAGGTGTACGAAAATTTGAACTTGTTAGAAAGTATGGAATTTGTATGGAGATACATAGAAAAGATCGAACACCAAATTATACAGAATGTACAGAACTTCTCGGGAGATACGGTATCCAATATTTTGGGATTGAGCTGCTTTGGCAATTAGTTAAATCCCAAACTGTAGGTTACATCTTTTAAATTAGATTTTGGCAAAATTTCACGAACTCAGAAACTAATACAGAATTCCACCACATGGAGCTCA